GATGTGCCTACTGGTAGGGTTCCCTGAGGATGAAGTGAGTATCTCATTGAGGCCTCACCCATGAAGCAGGCCCTCCAGAGGGGCAGTGCTGGCAGTCACTGTCGCCATGGTGATGGTGGGTGAGACGGTGGGAACCTGGGCTGGGTGGGGAAGACCCCCACCTGCAGGCTGGTCAACACACCACTCTGAGGACTCCCTTACCTCGCTTCCCTGAAGCTGCCCAGGGGGCTTCTCTGAGACTCACTTCCTCTCAGGGCCCTGAGCCTCGTTCATTGAATTCCGTTCATGGGAGCGCCCAGCCCCGGGAGGAGCAGGCCCGGGGCAGAGGTGGGGCCGGGCGGGCCTGCGCAGACGGAGCTCACTTCCCTGCAGGGCTGTGGGACAGATGATGTCCACTGTGTTCTACCCGCTGGTCACCTTTGTCCTCCTGCTCGTCTGCATCGCCTACTGGGCCATGACTGCTCTGTATCCTTTGCCCTCCTGGCGTACGTGGGGGCGGAGGGCAGAGAGGGCAGGACTTGCCCACTCAGTACCTTAGTGCTGAGAAGGAGCCCGGGCGTGGAGGCTGACAGCAGGCACACACGGGTGGAAAGTGCGTTTTCTGGGCAGGCACAGCGCGGCCCCGGGACAGAGGGGAAGGACGAGCCCAGGCAGAGGCCCGGCCTTGCCGGGAGCATGGGCACCACCCTGGGGGGCCCTGGGGGGCCCTGCAGAGACCGGTGCGGCCATGCTTTCCTTGACGTCCCCTGGGTGCCTGGCCACCTCCGGACAGCCTCAGTACGTCTTCTGGGCGCCTAACGCCAGCCTCTCCGGCTGTGAGGCAGCGCCATTGAACGCATCGTGCGACCCCACGGTGAGGGGCCGGGGTGAGCGTGGCGGGCACCGATAGGGCTGGGCAGCTTAGGGGACAAATGCCTCCGGGTGCAGTGGCCGCTCAAGGTCACTCAACAGGCCCCGGCAGAGCCTGAAAGGGAGCCAGTCCTGCCCGAGCAGGGAGGCCCACGGAGGCCCAGAGCGCTGTGCCTGCGGCAGCCAGCCTCAGAAGCTGGGTGCCAGGGCCCTGCCCTCCCTGGGACACTCCTCTGCCCACCACGCACCCAGCCGGTCCCCTCTGTAGAGTGGAGCTTATAACACCGGCCCACAGGGCGAGCCAGACCAGCTGTGACCCCGGCACACGGAGTGCTTAGCACAAGCCCGGCACGGACTGCTGACAGCTCTGGGCTGTTTAGTTTTGTTATCTTCCTCCTGGGAACACACTGCCCGAGGGCCCAGGCACGGGCAGGAGAGCCGCCCTGCCGCCCTGCGGGGTCTGGGAGAGAAGTGCCAGGCTCCCCGGAGGTGCCAGGGGGTGGCCTGGACCTCTGGGAATTGACTGTCCTCAACGCTTCCCTGTGGCCACTGCCCTGAGCGGGCCCAGGCTCTGCCCACAGGCATTGGCCCCCCGCTCCAAAGGAGGGGGAGGCCGGCTCCCGTTGGCGAAGGACCTGGGTGCCGAGCACCGAGTGTGCAGAGCCCGGGCGTGGAGGCTGACAGCAGGCACACACGGGTGGAAAGTGCGTTTTCTTTTTTTTTTTTTCAAATCTATTTTATTGATTTTATACAGAGAGGAAGGGAAAGAGATAGAGAGTTAGAAACATCGATGAGAGAGAATCATCAACCAACTGCCTCTTGCACACCCCCTACTGGGGATGTACCCTCAACCAAGGTACATGCCCTTGACCGGAATCGAACCCGGGGCCTTTCAGTCCACAGGCTCTATCCACTGAGCCAAACCAGTTTCGGCAAAAGTGCATTTTCTTACTATAAAATGCCAACCATGCACCCAGTCCCAGAAATTACCAAGGTTGTCACCATGGCTGGGAAGGTTGTTTTTATTTCTATGCTTTTCACTTGTTAGGATGGAAATTTTCACACACACCCTTGAGTAGAGACTTCTCATACCCAGATTCCACGCCTTTGACTTTCTCGTTTCATCCATCTCACCCCATCCCTAAGAGCAAAATTTTTTCCTATAGTTTAAGGGAAATTTTGGACATCATACCATTTCACTTGTAAACATATCGATGGATCTCAACAGATAAGGATTTTTTAAAAATGTATTTTTTATTGATTTCAGGGAGGAAGGGACCCGGGGTGGGGGGGGGGAGAGAAACATCAGTGATGATGAGAGAGAATCATTGATCGGCTGCCTCCTGCACACCCCCTACTGGGGATGGAGCCTGTAACCTGGGCATGTGCCCTGACTGGGAATCGAACCTGGGACCCTTCAGTCCGAGGGCCGATGCTTTATCCATTGAGCCAAACCAGCTAGGGCAACAGATAAGACTTTAAAAAAGCATAGCCACTATAACCATTATGAAACCCAACAAAATTAACAGGAACTCCTTAATGTCATCAGACACCCAGTCTCAATTTTGCTTGAAAGTATGGTGGTTGGTCACAGAGCCTGCTGTGGAGGGGACAGCTGATGGAGGCCAGGCCCTCCGGAGCAGGCCCTGGCCCCGAGGCTCCCCACACACCACCAGCTTGGCCCACACCACCCTGCGGGCAGCTCCTGTGCTCACCCAGACCTGGGAAGGAGATTGATGCTCACACAATAGGCGAGACCAGCCCGTTGGAACCTGGCAGACAAAGCCCCTGGGGGTGGGGAGGGCCTTGCTTCTTTCACTCTGGGAGTGGCGGTGTGGACTGGGAACAGCCCTGTCTGTGCTCCCCAGGCTCCGCCCGCCAACTCCTCGTGCCCAGGGCTGGTGTGCGCCTTCCAGGGCTACTTGTCCACAGGCCCGGTGCAGCGCTCTCTCTTCAACCTGCAAATCTACGGGGTCCTGGGGCTATTCTGGACCCTCAACTGGGTCCTGGCTCTGGGCCAGTGTGTCCTGGCCGGGGCCTTTGCCTCCTTCTACTGGGCTTTCCACAAGCCCCAGGATATCCCCACCTTCCCGCTGAGCGCCGCCTTCATCCGCACGCTGCGGTAAGCCTGGGAGGGAGGGGAGGGGCTGGGAGCCCAAGGGTCCCGGGCGCCTCTGACCGCCTAATCCCTGGGCAGTTACCACACCGGGTCGCTGGCCTTCGGGGCCCTCATCCTGACCCTTGTGCAGATGGTGCGGGTCATCCTGGAGTACATCGACCACAAGCTGAGAGGTGAGCCGAGGTTGGGCTGGGGGCGGCCAGCTGAGCAGCTGAGTCCTTGGGGAGAGGCTCCGGGCCTGTGTCCTGGGTTCTGAAACCCAAGTTCCTGGCCCCCAGTCGCCCAGAACCCGGTGGCCCGCTGCATCATGTGCTGCTTCAAGTGCTGCCTCTGGTGTCTGGAAAAGTTTATCAAGTTCCTGAACCGCAACGCATACATCATGGTGAGCCCAGTGCAGGCGCAGCCGGTGCTCCAGGGCCAGCCCCGGGCCGGTGAGCGCTCACCGGTGACCCTGACCTTCCCCTCTCCCCCAGATCGCCATCTACGGGAAGAACTTCTGTGTCTCAGCCAGAGAAGCCTTCATGCTGCTCATGCGGAACATTGTCAGGTCAGGCTGCCCCACCGTGGCTCCCGCCGCCTGCGGCCTGCGGGGGGCGCTGTGCTCAGAGGGCCTCCACCCTGGATGGGAACCGAGTCCTTATGCCTCTGTCACGGCAAGTGATGGAGGCAGCTGCATCCAGCCCGGGCCTCTCCCCGTGCAGGGTGGTGGTCCTGGACAAGGTCACAGACCTGCTGCTGCTCTTCGGGAAGCTGCTGGTGGTGGGAGGTGTCGGTAAGGACCAGGCCGGGCTGCCGGCACCGGGCAGGGGTGCGGGGAAGGGAGAGCTGGCTCCCAGGGTGACGCTGACGCGGACCTCCGGCAGGGGTCCTGTCCTTCTTTTTCTTCACGGGTCGCCTCGTGGGACTGGGCAAGGACTTTGAGATCGCCGCCCTCAACTACTACTGGCTGCCCATCCTGGTGAGTGGCCCCTCTCCGCCGCGCCCCTAGCTCCCAAACAGACCCTAACGGCCGTGCCCTGCAGATCTCCGTCGTGGGGGCCTACGTCATCGCCAGCGGCTTCTTCAGCGTCTTCGGCATGTGCGTGGACACGCTCTTCCTCTGCTTCCGTGAGTGGCGCCCTCCCTGCCCCCTCCGTGCAGCTGGGGAGAAGGGGCAGTGAGCGCCCAGCTGGGCCGCTCCCCGGAGCTCCCCGGGGGATAGGCCCGGGAAACCCCGGGAAACCCCCGGGAAGTGCGGGCCCCGCGGGGCAGCGGGAGCGGGACCCCCCTCCGGCTGTGGGCACCTCTCAGGCTCCGGCGCGCGGCTCCGCGCCGCGCAGGGGGCGTGCGGTCCGCGAACCGGACCGCGGGGGGGACGTGCTTCGCGGTCCCTCTTGACACATGAGGGGACGGAGCAGCCGCGCGGAGGGAGCCGGAGCCCCGCTGACGCCCCCTTGCGCGCAGTGGAAGACCTGGAGCGGAACGACGGCTCGGCGGCCCGGCCCTACTTCATGTCCAAGGCGCTCCTGCAGATTCTCGGCAAGAAGAACGACGCGCCCCCGGGGGCCAAGAGGAAGAAGCCCTGAGCTGGCGCCGCCGCGCGCGCAGCCGCCCCCTCCCCTCCGCTCAGGTCTTGGTTTTGTAAAAAGACGCCATTAAAGGTTGATACATGTTTCGTTTTCGCAAAAAGCCCGGCACTGCTCTTCCTCCGTCCTTGACAATGAGACCCTTTGCTCCCCGCCCGCACTTTAAAGCCGGCCCCGCCCCCAGCTGCTGCGTCCAATCAGAGGCTCTGAGGAGTCATCCCGGCTCTTCCTCATGCCGCCGGGTCACGAGCTGCGGCGCCTCAAAGGGGGCCAATAGGAGGGTCAGCTCCGAGGCGCTGAGGGGTCACGTGAAGAGTCCGAGCGTTTGGGGCCAATGAGAGTCGCAGAAGCGGCGGGCGAGGGGCGGGGCGGGAGGCGACACCTGAGCGCTTAAAGGGCCGGGTCAGCTGACTGACTCCAGCCGGGTTTAGTCCTGGGGGGCAGGCGCGCGCCCGCCGCGGGGAGAGATGACAGCCGAGCGGCCCGGCTCGGTGTTCCGGGGCGGCCCCGAGAGGCCGCGGAGGCCGGGGCTCTGGGGAGTCTGTGGGGTTCAGGTATTGGCCGCGATCTTCCCGCTGCTGTTGTCCGCGGCAGTGGCCGCGGCGTGGGACGAGAACGACTTCAGGCTGGTGAGCAGCCCTCGCCCGCCCACCCCGACCCGACCCCGACCCCGCAAGCGGCCCGCGCCCGGCGGCGCCCGCGCGGGCTGCTGAGCCCCTGTCCGCGGGACGCCCGCCCCGCCCTGCATCCGCTCACAGCCCCTCCGCCTCCAGGCCCGGCCCTCCGCATTCGCGCTCCTTCCGCTTTTGAGGCCCCTCTTCTCCGGGGGGCCCCTCCCCGCTCCGACCCCGCTGCCCTCCAGCCTCTCCCGCGGTTCCGCGTCCTTGTTCTGGGCCCGCGCCCACGAGACCCCACACCTGCCTCTCCCAGGGGAGCCGACTCTAGCCGCCCCGTCCGTCCCAACCCCGTCACGTGTGTCCGCGTGGGCTCCTCCCTCGGCAGGTGCAGCCGCTGGTGACCATGGAGCAGCTGCTGTGGGTGAGCGGGCGGCGGATGGCGGCTGTGGACACCTTCCGCATCCCGCTCATCGCGGCCACCCCGCGGGGCACGCTCCTCGCCTTTGCCGAGGCCAGGAAGATGTCCACGTCGGACGAGGGGGCCAAGTTCATCGCTCTGCGGAGGTCCACAGACCAGGGTAAGCCTCCTCCCGGGTCAGAGCCGGCGGGGTGGGGGCGGGAGGAGGGCTGGGGACCCGGAGCTTGGAGCCCCGGGGAGAGGGCTCTGCGGAGAGAAGGTGCCCGGGACGCTGATGTGGAAATTGGATCGCCACGGAGGTGAGCATTCCTCCAAACATTTCCCAGCGCTGACTGTGTGCCTGGCGCCATGGTGGGGTCTGTGAATACAGCTATGAACAAACCAGCAAAGCCCAGCCTGGCAGGCTTATATTCTCCTGGGGAGACAGGAGCAGGCTAAGGGCAGTGGCCAGACAAACCGGAGCAGTGCGGGGGAGGAAGACTGAGGTGGAGTGTCTGAGGGCAGGGAGAGCTGTGGCTGCATGGAGTGAGCCAGCGAGAGCACTCAGGTCCAAGAGGTCAGCAAACGCAGGTCTGTGGGCCGGCCCTTTGAGGCCTGGGGTCGGGTGGGTAGCAGGAGCCGCCAGTTACAGGGCCTGGTGGGAAGGGCTCCTGGGGGGGGGGGCGCTCCCTGGGTTTCAGCTCGTTTTATTTTCTTAATGGCTAATTATGCATTGTCGAGGGGATTACAGGTGTCCCCCGCTTCCCCCTATTGCCCCTCTCCACTAGCTCCCACCCTCCCAGGTCTTCACCACACTATTGTCTATCCATGGATTTTGCAAACAGGCATATAAGTTCTTTCATTATTCTCTGCCCGCACCCCTACTCCGCCCCTCGGAGATCCATCCCTCTGTTCCACCTTCTCTCCTTCCCTCTGAGCCCATTTTATTCATCAGTTTATTTTGTTATGTAAATTCCACACATGAGTGAGGTCATGTGACACTTGTCTTTCTCTGAGTGACTTCTTTCACTCAGCATGATATTCTCCAGGTCCCTCCATGCTGTCTCACAGGGTAAGAGATCCTTCTTTTTCACTGCTGCAGAGTGTTCCATGGTGGAAATGTCCCACAGCTGTTTTATACACCCATCTGCTGATGCCCACTTGGGCTGTTCCCAGATCTTAGCTATTGTGAATTGTGTTATGCACATGGGGGAGCATGCATACAGAAAGCTGAGTGGTGTTTTGTGTTTCTTAGGATATATTCCTAGAAGTGGGGTCACTGGGTGAAATGGCAGTTCCACATTTAATTTTTTTAGGAAACTCCATACTGTTCTCCACAGTGGCTGCACCAGTCTGCATTCCCACCAGCAGTGCATGGGCGTTTCTTTTTCTCCAAATCCTCACCAGCACTTGTTGATTTGTTGATGGTAGCCATTCTTTTCTTTTTTTTTTTAAATATATTTTATTGATTTTATACAGAGAGGAAGGGAGAGAGATAGAGAGTTAGAAACATCGATGAGAGAGAATCATCGATCAGCTGCCTCTTGCACACCCCCTACTGGGGATATGCCCGCAACCAAGGTACATGCCCTTGACCCGAATCGAACCCAGGACCCTTCAGTCCCCAAGCCGATGCTCTATCCATTGAGCCAAACCGGTCCCGGCTGATGGTAGCCATTCTGACAGGTGTGAGGTGTACCCCATTGTCGTTTTTTTTTTGGGGGGGGGGCTTTTTTTTTTTTAATATATTTTATTGATTTTTGTACAGAGAGGAAGGGAAAGAGATAGAGAGTTAGAAACATCGATAAGAGAGAGTCATTGATCAGCTGTCTCTTGCACACCCCCTACTGGGATATGCCCGCAACCAAGGTACATGCCCTTGGCCGGAATCGAACCCGGGACCCTTCAGTCCCCAAGCCGACGCTCTATCCACTGAGCCAAACTGGTTTCGGCCCCGTTGTCGTTTTGATTGATGTCTCTCCGATGGTCAGTGACTGCGAGCACTTGTTATAGGTCTCATTTTGGAAACCAGCCCTTACCCGCTGTCTCGTCGGGGAATATGTCCTCCGCACAGTGGGCTCCCTTTGATCTTGAGAACGGTTTCTTTTGCTGCGCAGAAGCTTTTCAGTTCCGTTGCTAGGGCCAGCCTGACAGGTGAACCGGACTGAGGTAGGGAGGTGGGAATTGAGAAAAAAGGAACACAGAAAGTGGGATTGGGAGGACTGCTTCCATCGACCGACTGCAGCAGCTTTGTTAACTGCGTGATGCCTTTTACACAAACACTGACTGGGAGGTCTGTCAAGAGGAACAGATTCTCCGTTCCTCCCAATCTTGGAGATAAAGCGCCATCAAAACAAGTCCGGGGACCCTGTGTGGGCAGGAGGCTGAGTCTTACCCGTCCCTTCGGGTGCAAGCACTCTGTCAGCTTCCGCCCGGTCTCCAACATCCCGTGTGGTCACCTGTTTCTTTCTCCTTCAGGCAGCACGTGGTCTCCTACAGCGTTCATCGTGGACGATGGGGAGACCCCTGACGGGCTGAACCTGGGGGCCGTGGTGAGCGACGTGGAGACGGGAGTGGTGTTCCTTTTCTACTCCCTCTGCGCTCACAAGGCCGGCTGCCAGGTGGCCTCCACCATGTTGGTGTGGAGCAAGGACGACGGGGTCTCCTGGAGCCCGCCCCGGAACCTCTCCCTGGACATCGGCACCGAGATGTTCGCCCCCGGGCCGGGCTCCGGCATTCAGGTCTCTGTCCGGGCGGAGGGGTGCCTGGTGGACAGCCTGGGAGGTGCCCAGCTGGCCTCCTTCCCAGGAGGCGTCCCTGCGAAGTCGGTTTCTGTCTTGGGTGGGGCCCCTTGGAAGAAAGGGACATCCTGGGAGGAGCGGGGAGATGGAACTTCCCACCGTGGTCGTCACCAGGCTGCATCAGACAGCCGGGCCCAGCTGCCGCCGGACACGTCTGCCTTGCGCGGCGCGGCGTGGCGAGTGACACGACGGGAAGAGCAGCCACACCCCCCAGTGCCCGCCCTGGCCCTGATGTCCCAAAGGAGCGTATTCTGCAAAAGAGCGTGATTCAGCGGTGGCTGCTTGAGATCCGTCGGGGGACCCCGAGCGAGCAGGGACAGAACTCAGGGGACACATGTGACCCCACACTTAGGACCGGGTGGTCCCGCCTCTGAGCCCTCGGCCTCCCTCTTCCCCACAGAAGCAGCGGGAGCCACGGAAGGGCCGGCTCATCGTGTGTGGCCACGGGACGCTGGAGCGGGACGGGGTCTTCTGCCTCCTCAGCGACGACCACGGCGCCTCCTGGCGCTACGGCAGCGGGGTCAGCGGCATCCCCTATGGCCAGCCCAAGCGGGAAAATGACTTCAACCCCGATGAGTGCCAGGTCAGGAGCCCGCCCGCCCCTCCCGGCGCAGCGGCGAGGGCCCCGCAGCCGCCCGGTCTTCCTGAGCCCGTCCTCTCTCCTCAGCCCTACGAGCTCCCCGACGGCTCCGTGGTCATCAACGCCCGGAACCAGAACAACTACCACTGCCGCTGCCGAATCATCCTCCGCAGCTACGACGCCTGTGACACTCTGAGGCCCCGCGACGTGACCTTCGACCCCGAGCTGGTGGACCCCGTGGTCGCCGCAGGAGCCGTAGCCACCAGCTCGGGCATTGTCTTCTTCTCCAACCCGGCCCACCCCGAGTTCCGTGAGTGCCGGCGGGGCGGGCGGGTCTGGAGGAGGCGGGCGGAGGCCGCCCCCTGACTCTCCGCCCTCCCCAGGCGTGAACCTGACCCTGCGCTGGAGCTTCAGCAACGGCAGCTCCTGGAGGAAAGAGACGGTGCAGCTCTGGCCGGGGCCCAGCGGCTACTCGTCGCTGGCCACGCTGGAGGGCGGCGTGGGCGGGCCGGGCCAGGCCCCCCAGCTCTTCGTCCTGTATGAGAAAGGCCGCAGCGCCTGCACAGAGAGCATCTCCCTGGCCAAGGTCAGCGTGTACGGGACGCTCTGACCCAGCGCCCAGCCAGAAGGCGCGGCCTCGGCGCCGGGACCGTGGCCTGCGGAGGGGCGCCGGGCGCCCAAGACAGTCCCACCTTCCTTTAGACTAGCCTTTTGCAAAATCAAGTTTTCTTTGGCAGGGAATCCTCCGGTAGGCGTCTCGCACAGGAAGTGCTGCCCCACCGGGAAGTGCTTCCTCTCCATGGCGCTGGGCTGGCCTGCTCCCGGCCCCGGAGTCCTGGCTCCCGCCGGGGGCCTGAGGGCTGAATAAACGTGAACTCAGGGACTTGAGGAAGGCTGCGCTTCCTCTGGGACGGCTGAAGCGCCTGGCGGGAGGATGCTTGCTTTCAGGGAGGGACGAGACAGCAGCACCGACCTGACTACTCGTGCCTCACAGTGTTTGGTGCGCTGTCTGAGCGAAGGACAACGGATGTGGAGTCTGATGGCCGTGCCCTCTGCATGTCTGTCCCTCGTGGACACCGTGGCTGGGATGGGCTCTGCAGGGCGCTGGGTGCTGCCTGCAGATCCACTCTCCTTTCCCTCGCTCGTCCTCTCACCCGAGAGCACATCCACTCCTGGGGCAACGTGCAGTCGGAGGCCCCGTGAGCCCTCGAACCTGCTGAGTGTGGTGTTTTTACAGTGAGCGGGCCGGCCCTCCGGGAGGCGGGGAGCGGCCCGTGCGGAACAAACGGACATGGGAGAAGCGGCATCTTCCTCCCCAGGTGGCTGCGGGTGGTGGGAAGCCATGCTTTCCCCCGATGGAAAGAAAGGACACGCCTGGACACGTGGAAGGAACATCTCACGCTCCCTGGCCGGTGTGGCTCGGTCGGTCGGTTGGCCCGGACACCGAAGGGTGGTGGTGGGTTTGATTCCTGGTCAGGGCACATATCCAGGTTGAGGGTTCAATTCCCGGTCCAGGTGCATGCAGGAGGCAACTATCCATGTTTGTCTCATATCTATGTTTCTCTCTCTCCTTTCCTCTCAAATTAATTTTAAAAAAAGAATGCCTCACATAAGGGATGAGGGCCACATTCACCTGCAGTTAAAAGTGTTTTCCCGACCAGTGTGGCTGCTGAGCCACGCTGACCTATGAACCAGGAGGTCACAGTTCGATTCCCAGTCAGGACACATGGTGGGGTTGCAGGCTCGACCTCCAGCGAGGGGAGTGCGGGGCAGCTGATCAATGATTCTCATCACTGATGTTTCTACCACTCGCCCTCTCTGAAATCAATAAAAATATATTTTAAAAATAAAGTTTGTTTCAAGTGCTTCGCTAGCAAATGTCAGGGACATTTATCCTACCTTACAGAAGAGGTGGGACAATAGCACTGTGTGAAGACATGGTATAATTTTGTTATATTTTATCCAGAATTTGTGATCAATAATGTAATACTTCAATTTTTTATTAGAACACATTTTCAAAAACTCAAAAGTAAATAGCTTGTTTAAACCAGTTTGGCTCAGTGGATAGAGCATCGGCCTGAGGACTGAAGGGTTCTGAGTTTGCTTCCAGACAAGGGCACATGCCCATGTTCAGGCACATGCAGGAGGCAACCAATCTGTGTTTCTCTCACATTGATGTTTCTGTCTTTCCCTCTCTCTTCCACTCTCTCTAAAATCAATGGAAAATATCCTCAGGCAAGGATTTTTTAAAAAATGTATAGCTTAATGAGCCCCATGTACCAAACATCTCATTTCAACAGTTACCAGGGTATTGCCACATTGCTGCTTCTGATCCCTTTCTGTTCCTTTCCTTTGCTAAGTATCTTAAAGCAAATGCCAGACTTCATGACGCTCACCCCTTCATTCTTAGGTATGCATTGCATTATATATATATATATATATATATATATATATATATGTATATATATATATGCATTATATATGTATGTGTATATATATTTCTTAATTTTAAAAAATATATTTTTATTGATTTTTTACAGAGAGGAAGAGAGAGGGATAGAGAGTTAGAAACATCAATGAGAGAGAATCATCGATCAGCTGCCTCTTGCACACCCCCTATTGGGGATGTGCCCGCAACCAAGGTACATGCCCTGACTGGAATTGAACCTGGGACCTTTCAGGCCGCAGGCAGATGCTCTATCCACTGAGCCAAACTGGTTTCAGCTATATTTCTTTATTGATTTCAGAGAGAAAGGGAGAGGAATAGAGAGATGGAAACATCAATGATTAGAGAGAATCATTAATCAGCTGCCCTCTGCATGCTTCACACTGGGGATCAAGCCCACAACCTGGGCATGTGCCCCTGGCCGGAATCGAACCTGGGACCCTTCAGTCTGCAAGCCAACGCTTTATCCACTGAGCAAAGCCAGCTAGAGCCATTGCATTTTTTTTTTCATATTTTATTGATTTTTTTTTACCCCCCTCCCTCCCTCCCATGCATTTTGTTTTTAAACATTTTGGGGAGAAACCAAGATGGCAGCATAGGTAAATACCTAAACCGCTGCCTCGCACAATTTCAAAACTATACCTAAAAGACAAAATGTCTATCTCCCAGAACCACAAGAAAGCTGGCTGAGTGGAAGTTCTACAACTAGAAGGAAAGAGGAAAGAGCATTGAGATGTGCACAGTGCTGAAAAGCTGAGGTATGGAGGCGAGCGAATTGAGCTGGTGACAGATGTATGGGTGTGCTGCTTCTTTCAACCCGTAGGGAGACAAGCTCCCAATTACTCTGAATTCCAGTTTCTGGGGATACGTTGGGGACCCGAACTCTCACAGAGAGAAGCTGGACTGTCTGCCATGGGGTCAGAAAGTGAGGGCGGCTTTCTTGCAGAGGTGCGCCCAGCAATCATTGTTTACCATGCTGGGGTGCGGGATGTGGGGACTTGGAAACACAGAGATGCAAAGATGGCTGACTGGCAGCCTTCACTGTTTGCCACGCCCTAGCCTAGTGATGCCTTGAGACCCCGCCCCACACAATCTACAAACCCACCCAAGCTTCGAGCAGCAGCTTTTGCATATAAATGGCCTGCCCTATAGCAGCTTAACCTAACAAACTGCAGCTCTGGTCAGACAGCTCCAAAACCTCCAAACCCCAAGCAAAGAGGAGAAAACTGTAGTTCTCCCTGTAGCTCCTGCTGGGTGGCCTCAGACAGTAGCTGACCTGCACCCCATCGGAGATCCAGAAGCCAGTGTATCTAGGGGTCAGTGTGAGACGACACCATATTTCAACTCCTTACATCCATAAGTGACACATTCAAGAGGCAGATTCAGCACCAAAGCCCCAATGAAGCAAGTTCTGCCCCATAAGTGTGTCTCCAGCACAGCAGTTCTTTCATTATATACACAGTGGGTCATCACAGCCAATTGACCTAGCAGTCAATTCCTCCCAGGAACAACAATCAAGACTTAACTTCAACAAGGCTATACACACAGTCCACAAAGGGGAGCACCAAGAGTGTCCACCTCAGGTAACTAGGGAGGCTGACCCACCAGCCCATGTAGGACACCTAGCACACAAAGCCACCCTTCCAACTCAGGGAAGCAGTGAAAATGCAGAGACAAAGAAATCACAAATGAGAGAAATGGAAGAAAACAACTGGATACAGAGTTCAAAACCACAGTTATAAGGTTTTTCAAGAATTTCCTAGAAAAGGCTGATAAATTCAACAAGACCCTCAAGGGTATGAAAAAGGACCAACTAGAAATTAAGCATACACTGACTGAAATAAAAAAATACAAAGACCCAACAGCAGACTAGAGGAACACAAGAATCAAGTCAGAGATTTGAAATACAAAGAAGCAAAAAACCCTTAACCAAAAAGCAAAAAGAAAAATGATCCAAAAATTTGAAGATAATATAAGAAGACTCTGGGACAATTTAAAGCATACGAACATCAGAATTATGGGGTGCCAAAAGAAGAGAGAGAGCAAGATACCAAAAACCCATTTGAAGAAATAATGTCAGAAAACTTATCCCACCTGGTAAAAGAAATAGACTTACAAGTCCAGGAAGTGCACAGAATCCCAAACAAAATGAATCAAAAAAAGACCACACCAACATACATCATAATTAAAATGCCAGGAGCAAAAGACAAAGAGAATATTAAAAGCAGCAAGATAAAAACAGTTAATTACCTACAAGGGAGCACCCATATGATTGTCAGCTGAATTCTCAACAGAAACTATGCAGGCCAGACAGGAGTGGTAAGAAATATTCAAGGTGATGAATAGTAAGAACCTACAACCAAGATTACTCTACCCAGCAAAGCTATCACTCAGAATTGAAGGTCAGATAAAGAGCTTCACAGATAAGAAAAATCAAAAGGAGTTCATCAACACCAAACTATTATTATATGAAATGCTGAAAGGTATTCTTTTTTTTCTTTTTTTTTAAAAAAATATATTTTATTGATTTTCCACAGAAAGGAAGGGAGAGGGACAGAGAGCTAGAAACATTGATGAGAGAGATACATTGACCATCTGCCTCCTGAACACCCCCTACTGGAGATGTACCTGCAACCAATGTACATGCCCTTGACCAGAATCAAACCTGGGATCTTTCAGTCCGCAGATCTATCTACTGAGCCAAACCAGTTTCAGCTAAAAGATATTCTTTTTTTAAAAAAATATATTTTATTAATTTTGTACAGAGAGGAAGGGAAAGAGATAGAGAGTTAGAAATATCGATGAGAGAGAGTCATCGATCAGCTGCCTCTTGCACACCCCCTACTGGGGATGTGCCTGCAACCAAGGTACATGCCCTTGACCGGAATCGAACCCAGGACCCTTCATTCCCCAAGCTGATGCTCTATCCATTGAGCCAAACCGGTTTCGGCTAAAAGATATTCTTGAAGAAGAGGAAGAAGAAAAAAGTAAAGATAAAAATTATGAACAACAAATACATATCTATCAACAAGTGAATCTAAAAATCAAGTGAATTAAAAATCTGAGGAACAGAATAAACTGGTGAATATAATAGAATCAGAGGCATAGAATGGGAGTGGATTGATAATTCTCAGGGGGGAAGGGTGTGGGGAGTAAGGGAAGAGACTGAACAAAAATCGTCCTCCTATGGATGAGGACAGTGGTGGGGAAGTAAGGGAGAGGGTGGGGTGGGAACTGGGTGGAGGGGAGCAATGGGGCCTGGGGAGGAGAAACAATTGTAGTGATCTGAACAACAAAGATTTATTA